ACGACATACTCTCAGGAATTGGTTCCTAGGAGTGTTGGTGTCACTCTGGAAGAGATTAAAACTAACAGTAAAGCTGATTGTGGTGGCCCACACCTGTAATCCCAGCACTCTGGGAGGCTAAGATAGAAGGATTGCAAGTTCAAGATCTGTTTGAGCAATTTAGCAACTTAGTAAGACTTTGTCTCCAAAAAATGTGTTTAAAATAAAACAAGGGCTGGGACTGTAGCTCTCTCGATGTTCAATTTTGAATACTGGAGGGGGGAAACTAACAACAATGAGGGATACTGGATCCCTGAAGACCGCTGTTTAAAGAAGCTTAGCCAGGGCTCCTGGGTTATGTCCTTGGTTCTGCAGGTATAAGAATGAGCTCATGGCACTTGAGAAATGTGAATGAAAAGGCCAATCAGTTACTATGGGGAAAGATAATGAATAGGGCCAAAGAGAACCCTTCATATACTTCATCTAAACATCATCATTTAGATTCTTATCTTTCTTATTTTAAAGAGAAAAGAACAAAAACAAAATAACAAAAACAAAACAGCACAGCACAAAAACTATAAAAGTGGGGCTGGGGATTTAGCTCAGCGGCAAAGCGCCTGCCGGGCAAGCGCAAGGTCATGAGTTCGGTTCCCAGTACCGGAGAAAAACCAAAAAAAAAAAAAAAAAAAAAACTATAAAAGTGATATAGAATTTCAAAACAAGATGATAGGAAATCAATAATGGTTGTATTACTCATTGTTATCTTCAAAGTAGTTTCTCAGATTACCAGATATAGGTATGCAAGATTGATCAAGCAATTAAACATTGGCTGTTCCTTTCAATAAACTAATACCAAAGAGTAGTGCAATTATCTTAGCTATCTTGCATATATATACGTATATTTTTTTTCTTTCCTTCTTTCTTTTCATACCAGTTGTTCTTTCTTATTGAGCAATTTCTTTCCCTTTCACAATATCTATTGTACCTTCCAGATTTTATTTACTCTTTCAGGTTCTTACACTAGGGAGACAATGCAGTGTTTACACATGCGGGTCTGATTTATTTCACTTATGAGTATGGTCTCTAGTTACATCCATTTATCTGTAAAAGCCTCGAGTTTATCTTTCTTTATAGCTGAGTAATACTCCATTATATAAAAATACCACATAGATTCTGATAAAGAATCACTCTTACAAATTACTATGATTCTTTCTTCTTAGAAACAAACACACTGCATCTCCTCTACCTGGATCTGGTTGTCTGTATCTTTCACCTGTGACTGTCACTGTGGATTTCTTTTGTGTTCAGTGCTTTCCTTCCTTTCCTAATTACTCTTTTTGGAGCATCCTCTGGGTGGGGCTGGAGTGGCTTCCACCATATTGTCCAAAAGATTGAAAATATCCCTAGCTGTTTGAAAACAGTGGTAACAAAGTGTAGACAACATACCCAAAATAAGCCTCTAGGCCTATTGCTAGTGGAGTGGGATCTAGATGAGCCCGATATACCATATGGGGTCTCCCCTTCTTTAGAGCCCCCAGAGTGTAGGCTGCATACATCTCATAGCTGTTTAGAAATCTGGCTTTCTGCCTCTCTCATTCCCATGCAGAGCCCTTGCCACTGAGCTGACTGGCCTGTGGCTCTGCAGTGCTCCTTGTGCTACCCCTTTTTATACTATAGTTTTCCAAAAATAGTAGTTTTAAGTGATTCTCACTAGAGAAATAAGTTTAATGACCTTCTTTCTCCAGTTAAATTATGTTTTTAATCAACCTTTGGAATGTAGCTAACACTAAAAGTCTTATCTCAAAAATTATATGTATGGTTGCTATAGAAAATTTTAAATATACAGAAATACAAAGAGAAGAAAAAAAGTGCCCAGTGACCACAGTTAACATTTTGGAGCTTCAGTCCTTTTAATACATACTGAATCATTTTTTAAAATAAGGTGAAACATTATATAGTACCCATCTTTTTTTTTTTGTACCGGGAATCAAACTTCAGACCTTGCGCTTGCCAGGTAGGCACTTGTGCCCTTGAGCTATATCCCTGGCATCCCCACCATTTTTATCCTCCTTAAAATGTGGCTCTTTTCATTAATACACAGCAGCCTATGAATGTCCTTTTTTGTTTATTTGTTTTGTTGTTGTGGACCTGGGGATGGATCTCAAGGCCTTTGCACTAAGCTGTATCCTCAGTCCTTTTTACGTTTTTGTTTTGTGATAGGATTTCACTAAGTCTCTCATCTTCCCAGGGTGGGATCTAACTTGTGATCTTTCTACCTCAGACTCCCATAGTGCTGAGATTACACATATGCACCACATTATGAAGGTCCTGTAATGCTGGCCATTATGGTTTATCCAAGTTTCAGGTGAGGGATGGCCTTGAAACTGAATCTTTGAGTGTATCCATTATTATTTCCTTGGGAGAAACTCCTAAAACAGTTTCTATGTTGAAGGGTCTGAAATTCTTACAGCCTTCAAATTTCAAGTTGCTTTCTAGAAAAGTTATACCAGTTTATACTCCCACTCCCAAGACTACACATATCTTTTAGTCTTTACTATCTTAAGTGGAAAAGGAAGATTTTCATTTGCCTTTCTTTTATTCTGACATGCTGAACACCTTTCATTCGTTTGCATATTTTGTGAATCCTTATTTTTTATTCTCTATCCATTTTTCTTTAAATATATTCAAGTTCTTACTGAATTGTATGAACTTCTTACATGAAGTACTAAGATATTAATTCTGAGACATGTTGCAGATGTTCTTTATTGTACCAATATCTCCCATGTTAACTATGATGTGTTACATTTGGAGAGTTTAATTTGTAATCTATTTTCTTATCAAAGGTTTTATTCCTGTCTAATTGAATCCAGCAGTCTTTTCCTCTGTGATTTTTGCCTTTGATGCTCTTCTCCACTTTAATCTTGCAAAAATATTCATCACTTTCCCTAGTATTTTAATAGCTTCATTCTTTTCATTTTACGTAATTGTATTAAGTACCATAGTGGAGCAATGAGCATGAATTAAGTATGGACTAGTTTTTATCCTCGCACTCTGTGTTTTGTATAGCCATTTCCTCTCCCAGATCAGAATTTCTGGTGTCCTGAGGAGATGCTTGAGACAAGTCATCTTTCAGTCACCCCTATTCCTACTCCATGTCAGTTTACCACTCTAGTCAGAGGCACCTCGTATTCCTCAGATAGAGGCACCTTCTGAGGCTCTGAGGAAAGTTCTGTCCTTCCCAGAGGGAGACATGCTTTGTACCTGGGACTGTCTGCATCTAGAAACACACTAGTCTTCCTGGAAGCTTTGGGCCACACTACGGAACATGGTGGTGGAACCTGCAGTTTGGGGTGGGTTGATTCCCCTGTTGCCTCGGGTCCTGCTCAAGCAATCCTCCCTCTGAACTCTCCAAAGCAATGAAGGCTCCTCCTTCCATCCTCACGTTGCACCACATACTTCTCTTCACTACAACATTTTTCACATCACATTCAGATGTGAGAGTAGGGATTGAGTCTTTTTAAAAGATCAATTATAATACATGCTGGGCCTCGGAAGGAATTCTAATAGCATACAAAGGTAAAAGTCAGAAATAAAAAGAATGAAGACTTTTAATCTCTAAGTAGCCAGAATCTCATGAGTGCTAAAGGATTTTTAATCTTGGAAGTGATGGGAAACCTTTGGAGATTTTTAAGCAGAACAATGAAAGGGATTTGTAAAAGGAGGGACTATAGTCCCGAAGTCAGTCAGAAAGCTATTCAGGGAAGAAGTGCCTGTATTTGGGAGGTAACAATGACAAAGACAAAGAGGGGAAGATAGAGGTAGAATACTCAAGTGCAGAGGTGAAAGAAAGAGAGGAAAAGTTGAGGATGAACGTTCTGGTTTCTTAAACTGCTGGCCTGTCTATTAAGCACAAATACAATGTGAAATCATCCCAGTTTCTCCATTAAGGCCGAAAGAGCCAAAATCAGTCAAGTCTACTCTTTTTAAAAGATCACACGGAAAAGATGCAATACTGTACTATTCATTTGGAAGTCATTCCCTTCCTTAATGAAATAAAAGTGATCAATAATGTAAACCAGCAACACTAGTTCTGTATGATAATATCTCTTAAATTTGCCCTCTTCTCAGACTGAGACCATGTCTGTAGAATGGCACCAGGTCATAGAAGGACCGTGACAGGGCTAATATGGAGTGAGAAGGATGCTAGTTGGGAGAGTCAGGCCAGAGTACAAGAGCAGGGAGCTGCAGGAAAGCCAGGCAAGCATTTTCCTATGTCTTGTTCACCCAGAAGGCACTGCATGCACAACCGTCAGCATTTCCTTTGGGCAGCTCTATCTCAGGTCCACTTCCTCAGTGGCACTGGACTTCTGAAGACAGTGAAAGCTTTCATGCTGTGTCATGTTAGAGAACATGATGTTTCTGTGTAATTCTTATATGCAAGGGATTAGACTTGATGGGATATGAGATTCTATGAAACGTAAGATGTAGACCTTACCCTTTCAAAACTTATTGTCTATTCTACTTATGTTACAGAATATTGAAACCATATTATTTATTTTAAAAAATAAGTGAGAGGGGACTCTCTATGGAACTGTCAGCAATATTTTTACTAGGTACAGCTGTTCCTTGTGTCAATGTGAAATTTGTTCTACACTCCTCTGCAGATACCAAAAGATACCTGTAGATATTATGGATGTTCAAATCTCTAACAGAAAATGGCATAGTATTTGCATATAAGCTTTGCACATCCTTCCATATACTTTAAATTATGTGTAGTTTCCTTTTAACATCTAATGCAGTGTAAATGCTATGTAAATACTTGTTATACCACATTGTTTAGGAAATAATGACAATAAAAATTTGCACATGCTCTGTACAGATGTCTTTTTAAAAAAATACTTTTGATGTTTGTTTGCTTACACCTGTGGATGCAGGACCCTCAGATGCAGAGGGCCAACTGTATACTAAAAGTGCATTTTGTCCTCTGATTAATTTCTTTATCTATTTCTCTCTCCTGCTAGATAATTTTCAAGATCACATGAAAAGGGAACTAGCCTACCGTGAAGAAATGGTGCAACAGTTACAAATTGTAAGATACTTTTCTACTTAAAAATAAATGCAATTTGTTTGGCTTGTTTTCATTTTGTTTTGTTTTTCTTTTAATTTTTTCCTTCCAGTACCGGGAACCAAACTCATGACCTTGACCTTGCCAGGCAGGCACTGTGCCACTGAGCTAAATCCCCAGCCCCTGTTTGGCTTGTTTTCAAACCACCCAATATGTAGGAAACTGTTCATATTTTTGCCAGGAAACCCCTTGGTCCACTTACCTCTCAGTTAGTTAGCTGCTAATTACCAAAAGATTTACTTAGGCATTGGGTAAACAGATGTGTCAGTGTGTTTGCTCTAAATGTAACTACCTAACATGTGTTAATAGACAGATGTGTAAGTTGTCTCTGTGGGTGAGCCAGAGTTACCTGCGGTTTTTTTTTCCATGCAAACTTCTGAGCATAAAGCTGAGATGAAGTAGAAGCAGAGTGAAAGGCCACCATCTTCTGCCTGCCCTTGCTTTCACAGAACGTGCCAAAGCCAAGTCCTCTGTGGCCACCGAAATTTAGTACACACAATTAACCAATTACATTCACTTGAAGATGATGAAATTTAAAACAACCAAATTACTTCCAAATGAACAGTGTTACTCTAATCGTTCCTAAAGGTGATCTATTTATATGGGGGGAAAAACAGGATGATAAAGGTAGGGGTTTTGTTTGGAATTTTTGTTTATGTATTTGTTTTCTGAATTCCTTGCCCTTTATCCTCAGAAGACATATATGTTATTATTCATTAGTGCTTTTAAAGCAGTCTCCCAAGCTTCCTTATTTTCATGAGTACAATGGGAGACATAATTTCTGCTCAATGTTTTTGAAATATTTTTAATCACCTAGATAAAGATGTAGTCTGATCCTTACTGATACTTCCAGTATGGTTATTTAATTTGGGTTGCTTGATACTTTTGAGTTAATCTATGCTATCCTTAGATGATTAAGCATGTGTCTATGCACCTCTTGTCTCAAGAGCTAGGCATGTACTTCTCTGTCAGGATTAAGAAAGATGGTTGTTAATATTTCTTTTCTTCTGCAGAAAAATTAGGCCTGTGTTCGTGGAGATTCATGAGGATCATTTTTAAAACAATCTTGACTATCATCTCATTTTTGCTTATTCTGGGTGCTCGGTTAAAAAGTCTTGCCAGGGCTGGTGGTACATGCCTGTAGTCCCAGCGCTCAGGAGGCTGAGGCAGGAGGATTTTTGCATGTTCGAGACCAGCCTGGGCTATAAAGTGAGCTCAGGGCCAGCCTGACTGCATAGCCAGACCCTGTCTCAAAAAGACTAAATAAATAAATGAAGTAAAATAAAATAATAAGTCTACACATAGCTTTAACACTCCCACTTCAATTTCCCTGACCTCAAGTGCTGGTTAACAGAGCTCATTCTGAAAACTTCAGTGAAAGATATCACTTAAATGGAATCCTGTCCTCCCTCCCTTCCTCATCCCTCTTCCTCCCCTTCTCCTCCTCCTCTTCATCTCCTCTCTCTGTTCTTTCTTTTGTCCTTTCTTCCTTTATCTCTCTTTCTTTCTTTTTTTCTTAACTTTGAGAGGGGGGTCTCATTACACTGCCTAGGCTAGCCTCAATTGTGTGATCCTCCCAGCATCCTGAGTAGTTGGGACTAGATATATGCTACCACAATGAGCAGCACCTTTCTTCTTGTGTTGGTTTTGTTTGTATTCAAGTTCTGTCCGCTCCTAGATTCACTGGAGAGCAGATGATTTTCTTAATCAATTGATAACAAATCCCCCACAGAGGGTAAAAAAAATGTATCTACCATTATGTTTTTGATTTCTAGATAATAAAATCCATACTTGCTTCCTGTAAATATACTTATTGTTTACTTCATCCAGAAGAAAAATTTAAATATAAGAGTAGAAGTAGGGGGATATAAAACTTAAAGACCTTATTTTACACAAGGCATCATTTTCAGGTTTTTAAAACAAAGGTTGTCACATATGAAACAAAAATTGCAATTTCAGCATGATGGTGAGTATAGCACAATGGGCATTAGGAAAGGAAATTTCAGTGCTCCCTTTAAAGGCCAGTTATGTAACCTGAAAGTTTTAATTTTCCTTGACATTTGATTGCTTTATTAAAAGAGGAAATGATATTGCGTCCATGTAATAAGCAGATAGTATTGATAGAAGAAAAAGATGTCTCATGTCTTTTGAGACATTTTGTACCTGAAAGACACAAATTGGGATTACTAAACATTTTTATTATGCTGTACTACAAAATCTTTATCATCATGTATTCACCAATCTAGAGAAGTTTTATTCATTCACATGCCTCTTTTAAAAAAATTTTTTAAAGAGAAAAAATTAAAAATAAAAATGAAGCAGAATTTCAAAACAAGTTAGTAAGAGAGTTACAGTAATTAATACATTGCATATTGTTGTCTTTGTAGTTCACATGCCTCCTAATATTAAAGCATTCCTGGTAACTGATGAAATAGTCTAAGAGAAACTAGATTTTTCCCATCCAGCCCTGTAAGTAATAATGATTCCTGAAATTCACAAAGATATATCCAGGCTAACAACAAGAGATCTTCCTCACCTTTTGTTTCCCTTCCCATAAGATGTGCTGGAGCACTACCTCCTGCATCCAGAGCAAAATCTAGCACCAAATAGTTAGAAGTAAACATTTGTCAAATGAATCACTACTCACAGATCCCCCAGACCCAACCCTGATAGTCTGTAAGCCATCCTCTTAATTCCCTTCCAGATTTCACTGGGCTCATCTTGATTTCCTAAAAAAAAAAAAAAATTTTTTTTACTTGCTAAGCAACTTCAACCATAACTAGTAAAGGACATCATACTAGTGAATTATCTGAAATTTACATATTACTATTGTACTGTCTACAACTAAAAACCATGATCTTAAAGGTCTGCAAACTTAAGCTCAATACTGATCCCATATAGTTCACTGTCACTTCTTTTCTCCAAAGGGAACTGCTGTAAGGCTCAACCTGATAGGGATATTATAAGGTGAAAGTGAATAATGGACATGAAATGCATATGCAGGCTGTAAAATGCTTTGCCAATATGAGTGATCAACTTAATAGCCCTTCTCAAATTAGTGCCTGTAACTAGTTAAGCCCTGGTGACTAGAGATATTTTTGTGCAAGAAGGACGCATGTTTGAATTATACTATCTGCTTTAGAATTGATATGACAGGCTCAGTGTTACTAGAACAGTAATGTATCTAGTTTCTTTTCCAGTTGTATAGATTGGGTAAAGTTCCTGGGGGAAAACATCTTTAAAAAATTCTATCTGAAGATTATCTAGGCACCAAAAAGTATCACAATTATTGGATTCCTCTGTATTTTAGTTCAATAATCTCATCCATTAGTAAATATTTTGCTTTCAAAGAACAGAACAATTTGCCCAAAATTATTTTATATTTAAAGTTTACAATAACATATTACAGAAGAGACATTTTTTCTTTAGATTAAATTTTATAACTACCCTCTCTTGCAATCATAGAGAATGCAAATATATTAAAACCGTCATATTTTGTAATGATTCCCATAGACCTACAAAGCATTTATCCTATGTTGTTACACACTGTTCCTATTCAGAAGACTTACATCAAAAGCGTCTTGGGTATCATTGTCATAAAAAGAAAACTTATGAATTTCTTTGGATCCTACACTTTTAGATTCTGTTGACTGTAATTTCTTTGCCAGTGTTTCTTTTTCAGTTTGTTAAATGCAAACTTGTGATGACTATAGAGTCAGATGATCAACTCCTTTTGTGCATTTATAAATAAATGTGTACATATAGCAATGTGATATTTAAAGCATAATCAGAATTAGTTTATTTAACATTTATGTATGGCCACAGCTCTTTTTAAAAAATTGTCTAAATTTTTTTACTAATTGAATAGTTTCTGTTAAGAGTCCCTGGCTCTGGTCTAGGTTTTCAAATGCTTGAAATATTTTCTTTATTAAGACAGATTTATTTATTTTTGCAAAACAAAGAAATATATGTATTTTGCTTTAACCAAATACAAAAGTTTCATAATTTAGTAAATTCATGAAAATGTGAATGTTGAACATATTGGAGGGTAAAGGACTTGTCATTCACAAATTATGATGCTAGGAGAAATATGTTCAGTTTAAGAAAAAAAAAACATTGTCCCTTAGGATTAGGAAGAAGCTGAGGATATTTTGTTCCATGAATAACATTTTGAATAAGGTTTTTCCAAGGATTGAAATCGAATTATTTACAACAGGAACTGGAACTATTAAGATGCCTTGATACTCTTTTTTTTTTTTTTTTTCCAGTGCTAATGTGGCAAACTTTCAGGCAAATACATCTATGTATAAGTTATTACTGACATGTTGTTGAAGATGTGCTTTTTTATTAGTCCTAGTTCTTGAATGATACTGTGAAACTGCAACACAGTACAGGCTCAAAGGCTAGAGGCAGACTCACATCCTTTGAACTTGCTGAGTAGCTACCAAGAGTCACGAAAGAAAAAAATGTGCTAGTCTTGAAGTGCCCTCTGCTGTTTTTGCAGAAAGCTGCAGTCACATGCAGCTAGGGGGAAACAGTCTCAAAGTTCTTCATTAAAAGCCTCAATTAAAATAATGTTCAATCAATAGGCTTAGTACTAATGTTTTGTTCACTGTGGACTTGTAAAAAAGCAGTTTGCCACTTCCCAATGGTGGGAGCACGACGCTTCTTTGCAGGAAAAGGAGTGATAGGTCTTTATCGTTTCTGGCGAGCACAGGCTCTTGGGCAAGGACAGCTTCTCAGTGGTACCGTCTTTGCTTGGAGATTCTCCAGTATTCATTAGAATGGGAGCTTGCCCAGATTTCTGTGGTCTCAACCCAAAGAGTTTTTTTTTAAAAAAATATGTTTTACATCCTTTTTTTTAATTAGAGAGAATAGTTACTATTTTGCATTGTATTTTTGTAAAAAGATTTCTCGGCTCTAGGGGATTTCACTTTTGTGATTTAAGTATGCTTCAAAATTAGGTTCCAGCAAGTCAGCAGACTTGATGAAAATCTGAAACTTTGGAATCTTCTTTAACATTCTCTAACAGTAGACAAACTTTGACTACTCTGCATCATTTTTCAATTATTGATGTACAGCCGTGCATCGTGACAATGCACTCAGTTCTTAGTTCTATAGTTTTGTTCTCATCCTTCTTGCTTTAAAATGTTGACTCCCTCGAGTGTCTGAGTTTTGACACAAATTAAAAGGTGATCTTTTTGGTAAGACCCAGGTGGTTTTAAAATATTAGCTAACTAGGTAATTTAGAAGTTATATAATACTTCGAACTTTCTATACCAACCTTGGTGATTTTTCAGCCAGTCAAAATGAAAAGAGAGTTTTTGTATATCCTATTGTAGGACATTTCTGTGCTACATCTAGCTTAAACAGATCTTCTCGAATCCCAAGCTCTAGAGCCAGGAGTGTTTGCTGCTGTATCTGTAAATCCAGTATTGTATTTTATGGAATCTGAAACAACATTAATTGTACAAACCATTATTACTTGATGAATTATAAGAAAAAAGCTTCCAATTATAATTCTAAAATACCATCAATTAAACGCATCTAATGTTAGAGATGCTAAAATATGAAGGGAGAAATATATCTTGAAATCAATGCAATAATGTAGTTTTCATGAATAAATGGGTCATATGCTAATATTGTCTTTTCAGTTATTGTTCATGATTTAACACTTTGAATTTAAAATGCAAGATGCTCAGCTCACTACTTTTGCTCTTTTGTCCTTTGTTGTATGCCATTTGTCTCATTTTGTTTTAAGGAAGTAAACCCAGAAATCAACCCCTGTGTGGGGATAATTCTTTGCAGTAGTTTAAACTCCAGTCTTACGCTTTGGGACTCAAATGGGTTTATTTGGAAATGTCTTTTTTTCTCCTTTTCTGCACAGCTTTCTATCTTAATGAAATGTTTCATTGATTCTGGGTGAAAAGGAGCCTATTTTGATTTAGTTCTGATGAAAGTGCCCTTCTACTAGTTACCTTTGGGTTAGGATGAGTAGTTTATTCACTTTAATGTGTGGTTCATGGTGATGTTAACTTATTTCTCACAGTGCCTGGCACAGACCTGATACATACTAAGACCACGCATCTAATCTTGATGTGGAGGACTCTCTAAATGTGAGAATGGCACAAATGCATTTTACTGAAAAGTCGTCATGTCCTCAAATTTATATCATGTCTAATTGTAATAAAATTAAATAATAGAAGTCCATCAAAGATTCTGTTATATTATTCATCTAACAAGTGAGGTGACTCATGTGCTTTGAAATATTGTAGCATACACCAGAATGGAAAACTAAGATTTACGGTGTCTGTGTTAATAGCAGGTGTAGCATAACCTACAGTGAAAAGAAGAGGTAACTAGAGTAGGTCCCCATGTAACTGTCCTCATCATAGTTATCTAACTGATCTCAGCCATGTCCTAAAATATGAGGTTAGGGCACTGAGATTTTTGTTACTATATGAATCAGTAATTTCAATACTGCTATCCATAGCCTCTATCAGATAGGTATGTATCAGATATCTTTAGTTTATAACTTTGCTTCAAAATAGTGAGATGGTTATTTTAATCTTTTTTTCATTAAGTCTGTTTGGTTCAAGTGATCTGTTATTATGGTAAAATGGTCCAGTTCATCTTAATTACTAGCATTAAAATAAATTGGTAGCTCCTTCCCTTAAAGAAAGTTCTTACATGTAGACTGGTGGATTAAGAAAGTAAAACCTAGTCCCAGTAAAATGCCAAAACTGCAGAGATGCACACAGCAGTATTTTAAAATATTGCCTAATGAATGAAAATAATTTTATTTTCCTCACTGCTTTTATGAAATAGTCATATTTCACATTATTTTCTAAAAGGATAAATGTTTATTTCTTAAAATGTAAAATAGATTCAAATCTTTAGAGTTCTGCTTAGCCTTGATGCAGGTAGGTAACATAATGATACATCACCTTAATCAGGGTTAGTTGAGAGGCACACATAGTCTAACTTCAACCATTTGAATTTTCTAATGAAAAGTAGCATATCGAATGTGAGAGGCTCTCATTCACAATCCCACTATTCAAAAGTGTTTTTCAAGTTTATCCAGGTACAATTCTCAGGGATTATATTTTTTATTCAGTTCATTTATTTCTAATGCTTTTTATCAGTTTTTGGGAATTTACCCAAAATAATTGTTTATATTTAGTTGGTCTTATTTGTGATGTATAATGACAGTATATTTCATAAAGAAAACATTTCATAAATTGAAGGATTACGTTTAATTAGAATGCAATCACATTCTTGATTTGTGACCTTGGACATATAACACTGTAATTCAGTTTGCATACATAAATAAAAAATAACACTACCATACTCTTAAATGCAAAATTTTAAAGCTTTTTGAAGTAAAATACCAGATGTTAACTTCAGGGACTAGCTGTAACAACAAGCCAGTGTGATCACCTACTGTGTCCTCAATGTGCTTCTTAATAGGCCTTAGATTCCTAAGGCTGTACCCTGGAAGACCCATGCTGCTGAATAGATGGAGACCTCTTCTCCCCTGGGAGGATCCATTGGCACTGAAATTGTTAGGCACGATAAAGGGTCTCTATTACATATCTGCCTCCAAATTTAGCTCATCTAGATAATTTTGCTTGTTTTTGTTTTTTGTTTTTTTGTCTTATAGATCCCCTATGCAGCAAGCTTGATCAGGAAAGAAAAGCTTGGTGCCCATCTCAGCAAAAGCTAAAAGGTAAGATTGCCAAAGAAAAGAGATTTGCTTAACAATTTGTATTGTTATTACTGCCTGTGCCCTTTATTGATATATTTGAAATAGCTTAAGGGGTTGGTACAGTTAGATCCTGTGTTTAATTCAGTATACCAATGAGCTTTGTTATATCTGGAAATGGGACTTCCTAAGGGAATGGCTAAGTGCTTCCTATAAATTCTATGGGAAATTCTGAAAACCAGAAATCAAAAACCTTACATTCAGTTGGTAGAAGTGATACATATTTTGTTTTGAGGTTTTCTGCTCTTTAGGGTTCTCTTTGACGCTCCTGCTAGTGCCCCTTGAGAAGGTCATCAGTCATGCCTACGGAGTGTCATCTTCCCTGTCTCTCCTTTCTTTTCAAAAAGTTTTCCTGACTTTTGTGAGTTACTATAAATGGTGATATGAACAACTAGGGGCAATACAGACCTTGGAGAACTGTCTTAGGAACAGTAATTAATTCTTTACCTAACCACATTAAAGTTTTCATCAGCTGAAACCAGGTTCAAGGTCATATTCCTGTTAACAATTTAAAAGACAAATATTTCTGACTGTTGAGGAAAAGCAGACAGTGAAAATTCAATGCAAATATGAGAATATCCATTGCCTAAGCATTTCAAAAAGCAACTTTTTTATTCTATGGAAGAAGAAAATATTTTTATTAATTGTAGGAATGCAAAAACTAGGATATGTTTGTTTTTGTAACATTTTGAGGTATACTAACAATTAGAATTGCTAATTCAAGAAAAATTTCTGATTCCAGAGGTAGTATGTGTTACTGCTTGTGGTTAACTAGGATTGTGGCTGTTTATCAGCTTGATCCATTCCCATCAGAATGCTTCTTCCTGTTTCTTCCTTCTGGAACATAATTCAATTCTATAACGTTTATAAGCAAAAAGACTTCCTCATAATGCAGGCTCTGGGTTCCTTTTCTTCCCTTCATGCCTCTCTTCTGCATATCACAACTACTCTTGCAGATGATACAAGTCATCTTTATTAGTGGTAGTTTTTCAGTACTTGTCTTAAATGCTGTAATGATAATTACATCACATTTCATCAGGCACTGAAAACTCTTTCCAAAACAGCCTGCTGTTCTGCTCCTTAATTTTGCACTTGGGTAGCTCACACAAGAGAGGAGAAATGTGACCTTTTGTGACCATGTTGCAAAACCAAGAAGCAGTTCTAGAGATCCCAGCATTAGATGCAATGCCTACCTGCTCATAACTGCATGGACTTTTTGTCCTCAGTGAGCAAGTGTTTCTGCAAAAGATATCCAGATAATAAGTGAGCCCATCTTCATCCCTTTAAAGTTATAAACAAATGTGCCTGTGAATTTGGCTCTTATCTTTTAAAGTATTTTTATTAAGTCTGACATTGACTTTCAGTGATTTCTTTCACCTTAAAGTAAACCAGTTTTGCACAAGTAGTGTGAAATGAAAATTTTAGAACAGATTCCAGTAAATCAGACTATCAAAGTAACCGAGGCAAGAATGAACCAAATTAATTCTGATAAACTCTATATGTATAATAGTAGGAAATGTATAATTTCCTTTGTGTGTTTTAAAATAACCATTTTTGTTGAAATGTAGTACTCATTCAACAAAGTCTACATATTATAAAGTCATACAAATCATGAAGTCTACAAATCAGAACTCAGTGAGTTTTCACTTAGGTCTCTGGCACTCTGTAACAGCCTTGTGCCCTCTATCCAGTTTCTCCCATCCCTATTCCAGCACAGGTTAATTTTGTCTGTTTTCAAACTTCACATAAAGAACACTGTACAGAATGTTCTCTTGTATCTGGCTTCTTTTACCTAGCATTTGTGAGATTCACCCACTAGAATGTGGTTTGATTTATGCACAAGAATTTCAGTAAACTCTCATTTTTACCTCTTCTATTTCCCCAGCTCATCCACCCTGTTTGTCAGCCTGTCTCATACCTATAAAATGAAGACTCACTGCCCTGAAACCATGCCTTTGATAGTGGCATAGCATATGGCTAGCTTGAAAAAAAGAGATTGATTTGTGTTTAGTAACTAATGCTTCCTCCATGCTGATTTTGTTTCCATCCTTGCAGACAATAGGGATTTCTCTAAGTAGACCCTGGTGCTTTCAGAAGATTAGTGGTTACTTAAATGCTTAGCTAAATCAGCCAAGCAGAGAATCACGACCATATTGTTAGAGGCAGTCTTTGATTCTCAATATGCCAAGCCTGCAAGGAGTTACCCCAAGAGAGATTACAAAATAAAAATCATTACACCAAGGGAGAGAGACCTGTCTTGCTGAGTGACCACAGGTTTCCAATTTAGGGACTGATGCATTAATGCCTTATGCAAGAGTGACCCTTAAGGTAGTCTGCTGTGTTCTTGCCACCCAGTGGATTCCAATATGACTATTAAGAGGAGGAAGCTTTTCAAACCCACAGGCAATCCACTTAATAAGCCGAGCAAGTACTGCCACATATCACTGCTCCACAAATCTTTTTCCCTATGTTGGAACATAAGAAATTTCTTGTTGAGTCAAAACGATGGTGCACCCAGGCCAAGATATTGTACAATTTCAACTGAAGAGCCAAATTACTGTTATCACTCTAAAAACTTAGTCATATGCACTAAATAATTTAAACTTGCTCTTGATAACTCCTTCATCCAGTAGCCATGGATTTATCCAAATCTTTGTTCAACCTAGGTATAGTCCCCTTTTGGGCAATGAGTTCTATTTGTTTAGTTACAAATTGTGTAAAGTGTAGTTTTATTTATTTTCAAACTACTTCCTAAAATAAGCACCATTAAGTTAGACATTGTACTATTTTGTATACTTGTATCATGAATTCATGGGTACAATGGAAAAGATTTGAAAAACACTTCCGAATGTCATGTGTGTTATCCTTTTATCAATGCTTATTTTCACCCCAAAATTATTCCTGATGTTTTTCCTTGACTCTAGTTATTTCTGTGATCTGGTTTCTACAAAGACACTCTGGTAAAAATCTGAAATGGCACAATGTCAGCACAGATTTAATTATCACTTTATATTCATTTTCTTTGAAATACCACTCATGTAACTGGTTGAAATACCCATGTTTTCATAGAAAAGAAGTAAGTCATATTGTATAAGTGGAAGGTCAATCATAGGATATGACTGATTTATAATTATGGAGATACTCATTGGCCAAGTTGAAATGATAATAGCTATCATTTATTGGGAACTAACTATGCCAGATGCTGGACTAAATTCTTTGATGTATTATCCTTATAATTTATAACTCTGTAAGGTAGCTTTTATAACTCTACCAGGTAGATCCTGCCATTATCACCTATTCATATATAAGAACACTGAAGTTTGAGGATGTCACATAGCTAACAAGTAGTAAAACCAGGATTCAGTCCTAGTCTATTTGATGCCTCAACTACTTTCCTGCCTTCCTTGGATCCATATGCTGGTCATAAGGAAGACTAGGTTCTAGATATGACCCTGCCTCCCTGTGTTATCATGAGCAATATCATTTAATTTCTTGGAGTCTCACTCTTATCTATAAATTATGGGTGGCTGAAAGTGATCAAAGTCTCTTTCATATCTAAAACTCTGACTATCACTCTGCCATATTCTCTCCCCTTCCTCTAAAGGATGACCCACTTAGTTTTTTACCTTATATCTGCAGTTTTTCAACACAAATTGCTACTTTGCATCCTTGTGGAGAACTTGAATATACGATTTTCCCTATGTTAAGAATATCTATCTTTTTGGTAAATTTCCACTATTTTTACTTCACTTCTGGAGTTATTGCCATAAAAACAATGATAAAAAATGTTACAAAGGATGTACAGGGATTGAAGTTGAACACTTTCTTCCCCACAACCCAGTACTGGGGATTTAACCCAGGATCTTTGCTCTAACCTACATCCCCTGCTCTTTTTTCTATTTTTTGTTTTGGGACACAGTCTCAATAAGTCATCAGATTGCTAGGATAGACTTAAACTCGTGATCCTCCTGCCTCAGCTTCCCAAGTGCTGGAATTACAGGCTTGTACCACTATGCCTGGCTTTGTCTTCCTTTTTTATGATCAAAGATCCAGTGAAGGAATGGTATATTCATTTCTTTCATCTTTAGCCAGACATAAGAGGTTTGAGTTCTTTCAGGAATTTCTGTGGAGAATAACAACATGCCCTCACTGTTCTAGCCATCCTATATTAGACCATTAAGATAAATACTACTACCTACACCATCCTATAGCTGGGAAAGCTGAAAAGTAGAGAGGAGAAAGTTGCCTGTGGTCTCACTTGTAAGTGGAAGGCTTTGAGCTCTGGTCTTATACCTTGTATTTCATCTTCTCTCCTCTTGCAATCTGAAATTGTAGCCTAAGTTACATCTTCTATTATCAGTTATAAATATGCAGTTAATAACCAATCTAGTGGTCTTAATGATTTTGAGTCATAAATCTATAGTCATACTTTGTGTTTCCCTAACAAGGAAAAGGGTACTAGAGTATGGGATGCTGTCTGCACTTTTACTGCAAGCTGTTTTAATGTTTGCCCACCAACATACCAGAGCTTCTAGAACTAGCCAAGTGCCTTTAGAAAGAATGACAAACTGACACTTTCTGATTTAATAGTTCTCACTGAGCCCAGTGTTATCAGAGATGCATAACATAAGATTGCAGGCCAACGTGTAAAGAGAAGACACTTTTGTAGGTACAGTTTTAAAAATTATGTTGAAACTAAACTAAAAATGTCCTCCTTAGGGTATAGTAACTACTATTCTAAGTACTTTTTAATTATCTGGCTGTATTATGGTATGCTCAGATTGTCATTCTGTGCTTTTGTCTTATCCCAGGTGCACAGACCCACTTACTCTTGTTCTCTTGTAAGATACAGCCTACTACTGAGCACTTCGGACCTGCAGAAAGGCTGCACATTGAAAGGGCTTGGGAATCAAATGCAAAATCAGGTTCAGGAGAACCCAAGGACAAGTGACCTCAAAGCAGCATGGACAACCATGTAAAATAGACTGTAGCAGCCATTCATTAGTGGGGGGAGGGGGGAGCCAACCAGAGCAGTCAATGCTTGTCGCATCTTTTGGTGGAACCAAAGTTTGAGTATTTGTGTTTTTAAAGGACAACAGAACCCAGAGCGTGGAAAATGCTCTTCGCCAACAGACTGGGTGGGAAATCCACGGGTGGTCCCAAGTGGTCTCAGTTCTGCACACATGGACAGATCAGCTCTATACGATTGTCTTTTACTTTAGAAGAAGTGAATTTTGATGGAAAGAAAACAGAAGACCTGTTCCAGGAGCAGGAATCATGTTTGGGCAAATGAGAAAACATCAGCTGAAGAAACCTGCTTTTCATAGCAAACTGGACAGACACACGTGGCCCCTTCCTCTCTGGTACTTTGCCTGCTGTATGAATGAAGATTGTATTCCTCTGGAAATATTTTACAGTTTAATATTGAGTGTAATTAAGAATATAATCATGTTATCAAAAATGGTATTTAACTGTTGTAGTTTCTTTAACATTCATGTGGATAAAAAGTCTATAATAAAAAATTATGAAGTACTAGTTGTGTTCATATAATTAAATACACATTTACTTAGGGGCAACTCATAGAAATTAATGCTTTTTAGAAATATTTTGGCATTAAAATATTTGAATAAATTATTTTTGAAAACAGAAATCCTTCAGAAATGATTATTAAAGGCTAGATTAACCTTTGGCCCTAGTCACCATATGCAGACCTCCACATCATGTTAGGATATTTATGTAGGTAAAACAATATTCTAAGTTAAGTGTTGATCACAAAGTTGGTGCTGTGGTTGCTTCTTTACTATTATGTTAAATCCAAGTCTATGTGATAATTTTATGCCAAAAATTCTGCCATTTATGAAAAAGACAGAAAAGTCAAAATACTGAGTCCTTAAAAGTCAAGATTTCTAAGGTAATGCTGGGTTATGAAAAAGCCCATGATGGACCACCCTTAATGAAAATTGTATTCCTTTGGCAATATTTTGTAGCTTAATATTTACCTTCCAAACTGATCATGCATCTTACCATTGGCATCCCTTAACAGATTTTTTAAAACATTTAAAATGCTTTACTCTGGTATTGAACACTTTTCCCCTTCCAGCTCTGCCATCTTGATCTATCCAAAGAAGGTCTACAATTTATTGTTGCGATAAATGGATGTTCTTATCTTGGTTAGCACATTGTTGTTAGTTTTCTATCACTGAAACAAGTACCTGAGAAAAATCACTTTACAAAAAAGAAGAAGTTATCTTGGCTCGCAATGTCAGAGGTTTCAGTCCATGATCAGTTGGCCTTATTGCCTTGGAGTCTGTACTGAGTCAGTACATCATGGTGGGAGTGTGTAGAGGAGGAACAAGCTCACCTCATCACAGCCAGGAAACAAAGAGGGAAAAAGAGTAGAAGCCAGGGTCTAAATATTCTCATAAGGACACTTTCCAATGACCTAACTTCTTTCTACCAGGCCCCACCTCCTAAAGGTTCTATCACCTCCCAATAATGGAGCCTAGGCACTAACCTGCAGCACACAGACCATCGGGAGTCATTCAAGATCCAAACTATAGTACATAATAAGAAACCAAAAGAAGGCTGCTCATTTGTAATTTTCTTTGTAGTTTACGAAAGATGAGAAGTCAGGTCAGACAAAGGATATAAACCAAGTCCTGGAATGGAATCCAAGTCTCCAGCAACCACTAGAGGAAACTAATATGAAGATGCTGCAACAAAGGATTTACTTTGAGCCTTTCTTCCAGGAGGAATCTGTGTCTGAGCATAGATGGGGCATGTTGCTGAAATCAGCCTGAAATATCTTTCATTTATTTCCAACTGCAACTTTAAATGTTTCAGAGTTATTATTATGCAAATATCATCAAATGATTTTTTAGCAAAGGAAAACTAGAATCAGATAAAATGATAAGTATATCTATAGAGCCATGGCGTTACTGACCATGGGATAACACTGAATTGAGTTAGTGGCCGTATTTAGTGCAAAGAATCCCATTGGCCTCTCCTGCTGATAATGTAAAGCTGCATTGGTGCCTTCTAGTTCTCCACCCAAATTCCAGGTTCCAAAGAAGCCCAGCTATATATCTTGCTCTGAGTGCTAGCAGATTCCTGCTTTCCTTATTCCCATAGCCTGAAAGCCTCATTTCTTCAGGTGTTTTATTAGACTTAATTCATATGCCCCACAAACACTAGAATCTAACCACCCTCAGCGCAGTCATAAGATGACATACCAAAAATCAAAAGCTTTAGAGAAAAAGAGTCAGGGAAATTCAACATAGATAGGGAAACATGTAGTTTACCCCATCTATTTCTCATTATGGATAATAAACACTTCTCCCCTATTTTAATAATATTTGATGCTTTTAGGCTGGAACAAAAAGATTTTCTCTTAAAAGTGGATATGATTGGATTATCTGGGCTGCCTATGAGAATAGACAAGACATCCATCTACAGCACTGCATGGGCTAAAAATAAAGCCACTCTTCAGAAGGACAAATAAAAATTCTTGGTTCTATAAAATGACAGCAGAAAAATGCTGTGCTCGTTTCTTTGATAGTTTTATAGTATCAAAATTCCAAGGTCAACCCAAATACTAACTAATGAAGAATACAGGCCATGCAAATAAAATGGTCTTTTTAAATTCTAAATTAAATTACAAGATTTAAAAAGTCATATCAGAGGTTCCATTCAACCCAGTTATTCCCCTTTGGGTATCTTCCCAGAAGAATTAAAAACATCATACCACAGCAATATATGTGCACCCATGTTTATAGTAGCACAATTTGTAATCTCTAAATCATAGAAACAACCCAAAAGCCCATCAATCAAGGAATGGATTAAAAAGATAGAGGGTTTTTTATATAATAGAGTACTACTCAGACATAAAGAAGGATAAATTAGAGTGAAATAAATCAGACCCTTATACATAAACATCATATTGTCTCACTAGTGTGAGAAACTGAACAAGTAAATAAGATCCAAAATATGAATTAGGAAGAAACTGTACAAAAGAAAAGAGAAACTGTGATGGGGGAAAGGGAAAAGGAAGAAAGGGAAAAAGAAAAAATATCTTTATACACAAGATAGTTAAGATAAATATACAGCTAGTTTCTCCTAGTTCATTGAAAAGAAAGCTTTGTACCAATATTGTTTGGACAAGATATCATGTCTATATCTTGTTCTGTGAATAACTACCACGAAGACAACAATATGCAATGTATTAATTATTGTAATTCTCCTACTAACCTGTTTTGAAACTCTGTTTTGTTCTTTTTATTTTTTTCTCTTTAAAATAAAAAAAAGGCCTTAGAAAATCAAAACAAAAATTCTGGACCAACCAGTAAAGTATTTCCTGTTGAGGCAAACCAGACATTTTAGACCGATGTTTTCAGTCCTCAGGAAGCCTGAGTTATTGCTTGTCTGTTTGCTACAGGCAAGGAGAGAGGAACATCACATCCCAATTTCCTTAGACTGAGCAATGAGTGTAGTTTCAGCTCTGTGGAAAGTAGAGGAAGAACATTCTTAGCTACAGGGGATATGATCAGAGAGGAGCTCTGCAATTTAAAAGTTAAGACAGCCTCATTCAGCAATGAGGAAGGGGAAGTGGTGAAAGGACCACTGGTGCATGGCAAGGATGTGTGACCATGTAATTTAATGGGACAGACACTCCAGCTGACTCCATACTCAAGGAGACAAGTTTCTTTATCTCTTTCTTTACCAAGGTGAGTACACAAGACCTGACAGATTACAGGGTTCGCCACAGACAATCTAAACCAAATTTATGATTATACTTTCTTTAAAGGGAGCAATATGTGCTCTAAACTTTAAGGGGAACAGGACATGTTTCAGCTCACCATCTCCTAATGGCTCTTAGCTCAGTTCCTGGCATGTACTTTCTACACAAAACATTTTTGCTGAGTAACTAAATGCATCTCAACTATTTTAGTTGAGCCAAGAACCAGAACAGATTATTTCACTGTTGTCACTTTAAACACTCTGTCAAAGAATGTTGGCACTTCATTTGGTTTCAAATGACCATTGTGGCACATTACTATTGCCACCCCTTAGTATCCATTCTCAGGTGGTGATACATCTAAATAAAAGACCACTTTTTGTCAGGGAAGCTGGATATGGCTAGTAACTCTGTTCTGGCCTCTAATATATAGATGGAAACACGTGGAACTTTGAGGAAGTTCTCTTCAAAAAAGCTTGACTTACTTTTAAAAAAAAAATTTCTTTAATCCCTTCTCTTTCCCTCCTTCCTGGTGTCTGTACTATGTTTTTTGGTTTTTATTTTATTTTTTCTTAATTTATTTTTTGGAGACAGGGACTTGCTACATAATTAAAGCTAGTCTTGAACTCACTATGTAACCCAGGCTGGTCTCAAACTTTTGGCAATCCTCCTACCTCAGCCTCTCAAGTACTAGAATGACAATTGTGCACCACCACACCTGGCTTGTATAATGGTTGCAATATGGATAGCTCCCTAGCAGCCACTCTGGATCATGAGGTGATTTTGAAGTTGAAAACAATATACTAATATGTCACAGAAAGTTAATAGAAATTTGGGTCCCTCATAGCTGCTGAATCACAATTCCAACTCTGGAATGCCTATTTCTAAATTTCTTTCATATTAGAAAAATGAAATTCTATCTTATTTAATCCCAGGCATATTAGGCTGGGTCCACTGGGCTCATCCTTTACTTTTCTACTATATATTTGTACTTTAGAGTAACAGTAGCCAGTTGTGCATTTCAGTACCTTTCCCTGTGGGATACAGGAAGCAATTTATATTTATCTACTTGGTATGATGAATGGCAAGGTGTGTGCATATGTTCAAAAGTGGCACAACGGGATTTTTATGCACCTTCTGTTCCATGTAACTTTGTTTTGTATAGGTTTACCCATGCATCACAGAGGGTCCAATAGACCCACAACACTCCAGGATTTGTTTTTTAAAAAGTTTTCTTTTGATTTTTCTGGTAGAAGCAGACCAATTCAGTTCAATAGCACATGAAAAACCAGATTTGCAACTTTTGGAGGAGGTCAAAGGTGAAACCTCAGATTACTCAAGCATGGATGATGAAGATGATCCATTACAGTAAAATACATGCTTTCATAACAGAAGAGTTGTGACAGTTTATGATGGTGACAGTGATGATGATGATGACGGTGACAATGATGATTTTGACATTGGCCATGTGAACCAAAGTTCTTGTGACAGTGCAATGGAGCGAGAATTGATTGATACACACACAGGGAGCACAGACCTCTTTGATTCAAATGATGAAGAAAATAGCAGTGTGAGTACATATTTGACCAGTTAAAATATTGCAAAATTACCCC